GTCTCAAAAAAACAAAAAAAGAGGACAATTTTGAAGTAGGCTGCAGCCAGGGCCCTGGTGTTCTTGGTGACAGGAGAGCACACGTCAACAGGATAAATCCATCACAGGCTCCAGAATGTTCCCTAACCATTTACTTAAGACCCAAGAATAAAAAGCATCATTCCTTAATCTCTCCGTGACAGTGGCTCCCAAGTCTGCATCACAGGTTTTGAAACATGTTTAAAGTTAAAAAGAAATATGAAGCATCAGAAAAAGAGCCACTTACCAAGTTCACCAACGGCCCCCCAGAATTCCCGTGCTAAAGACAAGTTGAGAAAGGCATCAGTTAGCAAACAGAAGCATCTCTCCACGTCATTTATACGTAGTTCCTAATGAGTTTTACCAGAGCATCCTGCTTCCCCAAGGCAGGCAAAATCATGCCCCTTACCCTCCCAATCCTAAAGTCAGTGTGGGACAGGGCAAAGCAAAAGGACCCCACACTGTATCACAGCAGTGACCTCTGCAACAAGCCCCAAGTGTGGGTGCCAGTTATATCAAACATTCGGCTCTAGCCACAGGGCATTCCAGCCCTCCCTCAGGGATGACCTCTGAGAATCCTCAAAAGACCAAAGGGAAAAGAGATCACTCCAAAGTCCTCTTCTCACTCCAGCCTAGCACTATCTTCTGGGCTGGGAGCAGACTCCCGGTGACTTACATTAATGATGGCATCTGTCTGGATATAGTCTATGTCGGAATCCTTCAGCCCCAGCTCTTTGCCGCCTCTCTGTGTGGTGCTGACAATCCCCGCAGTCACCGTATCCTGCAGAGAAAACGGGCTGCCCAAAGCCACCACAAACTCTCCGGCCCGGAGATCCGATGATCTTCCCAGCAGCAACACAGGAAGGTCGGTCTGCACGTGGGGGCGTGGAGCAAAGAAACAGAAGAGTACAGTCAACCAGGACCTGCTGACCGGTGGCACTGGCCCGAATGAGCATCCTCCCGCACAGGGCCTTGCCTTCCTTCTTCCTCAGATTCAGGTCCCACCGTTAAACTCTCCCTTTATTAAGATAATTGAGATCATCTCTAAGACCAAAACCTATAGTTCCAGCTGCTAGAGAGGTGGCTTAGAGGTCAAGAGCATGTACTGCTCTTCCAGAGGATGCAAGTTTGGTTCCCAACACCCATGCTGGGCAGTTGACAACCACCTCTAACTCCTGCTCCAGGAATACAACTTCCTCTTCTAGCCTCCATGGGCACCTTGCACTCACTGGCACAGGCACATATACAAGTATACATCATTAAAAATAAAAAAGTTGTAAATCGAAGTTGTATAGAAATTACTATTAATAAATGACCAGTGAAATGTCTGGTGTCAGCCAGTCACTTTGCACCGTTCCAGCTCAGACCTTTATCGTCAGAGTGAAGTCACGAACAGGCTACAGATCACCCAGAATAGCACTTCTCAAACTGTACCGTGTACATAAACCCCCAGGAGCTTATCAAAATGCAAGTTCTGGGAGACCTGGGTGGGTCTGAGGTCCAGGATTTCTAACAAGCCAGGTGGTGGTGGTGCATGCCTTTAATCCCAGCACTCGGGAGGCAGAGGCAGGCGGATCTTGAACTCTGTGAGTTCAAGGCCAGCCTGGTCTGCAGAATGAGATCCAGGATAGGCACCAAAACTACACAGAGAAACCCTGTCTCAAAAAAAAAAAAAAAAAAAAAAAAGAACGGAGTGAGTGGGAACCTGGAGAGTTTGTCTCTGCGATTTGAAACCCTGTAACAGATCAGGTTCATCACAGAGCAGCCTTGGCTGGAGGGAGTGTGGTCCAGCCTAGCTCTGTAAGCAGACAATCAAGCACTGACTGCTCCCAAAGGACGGAGCATGAAGCTGCAGGGTCCCTTCCTTGGGGGTTAGGGGGGCTGTGTCCTTTCCTCCATACCGGTTCCCATTGGTACCCCAGGCTGTAGGGGTCCGGACTTCACCCTGCTCTGCCATCCCTTTTCTTGTGGTTGAGCCTTTCCTCCCTTCCCTGCCCCAAATCTGGGTTCTCCTCCACGTTCCAAACAAGTCACCCGCCCTGCCCAGGGATGGGGGTAGAGTAAAGGAGGTAGGAGAGAAGCTTTGGGGATTGAGTTCTTCATTTACTGAGGAGGGATTGGGAGCAACAGGTAGGGGGCAGAAGTGTAAAGGGGGGTGGCTGAGGGAATGTGAGGTTCAGTGATACGCTAGATTTTAATCTCCACATCACTCATCACTTTGTTCTTTAAAAAAAAAAAAGAAGCCTGGGACACCAGGGTTGGGGCGGGGAGAGAAGAAAAACATGCACTACATACAAAGAAAAGGCATGGTGAAGGAACACAAAAGAAAATATCAGCAAATAAACTGGGAAATTGCCAAACGGGCAGACTCGGACTTAGTTCTCAACTACTCACATTGGGCTCGATCTTAATCAACGCGAGATCCAGTTTATGGTCGATGTCTTTGACAGTGGCTTCATACTGGGCCCCATTCTGGAGCTCTACCTGGATCCTCTGGTGGTTGGTGAGGACGTGGGCATTGGTGATGATGAGCCCATCCTCAGACACTATGAACCCAGAGCCACTGGAGGCAGGGATTTCCTTGTTGGTGAGAGGTGATCTGTCCCGGAACAAAGCAATAGTATGAGCATAGGGCAGGAACCGGGGAATCCAGTCATTGTTTGTGAGTCCCGGGAAGCCTTGCATTTATCAACCATATCTCCAGGAGTTTTCCCAAACATGGTCCCTTTCCACTCCGTGTATACGAGAGTCACACTAGCGTGTCCTGGCCATCTCTCTTAAACACAACTCAGAGCTGGGTCCAGGGACTACTTCCTTCTTCAAATCGGGTCACCTGTGGGTCATTCGCTGTGAAGAGGCCAAACCTGGTGCTAACACTGTACAGGCTCACACTACTGCCACGGTGTCAAAATCTAGCTCTTAGGTTCCTCTACTAACTGGCGTTAACTAACAGATCAAGTTAATTTTCTGTCGATCCGGGTTTCCTTGCACTCACGTGACAGCTAGGGCTACACAGACCACCAAATGCTGACTAGCTCCTACAATCAGCCTTAAGTTTTGCTTGTAGGGTATGTGGGAGAAAGAAACACCAGCCACCAGCGTGCACGGATGTAGCTTGGATCTAGAAGCCAGAATCCTTGTCCTTGGCTCTTAGCTTTTTAGCGAAATAACTCTTAACAACTTTTTCTCCGGGTACTGGGCTGGAACCTGAGGTCCCCGCGTGCTCCGCACGAGCTCTACTGCCCAGCTCTGCCCCAGTCAACTCTTTGAACCTGGGTTTCCTCACAGCGATTTTTAATGAACAGACAACACTATCAGGTGGGGTCGTTGGCCCTCGGTGTGACCTTCACCTGCGGAATATCTGCAAGTGAACCACAGATGGCGCCACCTTCTCCACCACCGCTGCGATGAAGTTGTACTTCCTTCGGAGCCGCCCGGCACTTCTGGGCCCTGTGAACAAACGGTCCACCGTGAGGGCAGTGGGATCCTTGCTCCCTGGATGCAGGTGTCACATCTCAAAGTTCCCCGGCATCTCCCCGTCCCCCTTCCTCCGCAGGTTCTCCGGGCTAGGAGATGAAAGCACCCGGCCTGTCATGCCAAGGAGAAGAAAAGGAGAAAGAACCCCAGTGCCAACTAGTAGGGAGCGCATTAACCAAGCAAGAATACCGGGGACCACCACGACAGGTTGAATCCCTGGAGCTGGCGAAGGAGGGCCGACCCTGCGAGCGCGCGCGCGCGAATCAAGAGCACCCACTTCATCTTCTTAGGATGGGTTGGGGTTGGGGGGGGCGGCGCCCCGCACCTCGCTCACCTGGGTCCCCGCAGGCTCCCTTCTGCACGGGCACGGCCGGGGGCGAGCCCCGCAGGCGCGCCGCTCTGTTCTCCTTACGGAGCGCGCACAGACTGGGGTAGGTGCGCCCGTCGCTGCCGCACACCGCCGCGCCCTCCACGCCCTCCACGCAGCCGCAGGTGCCCAGCCATGCGCCCCCCGCAGGCTCCCGGGAGAATGGGGCCCCGCAGCGCAACCCCGAGAGGCACGGCCGGCCCCGCGCCCCGCCACACTCCTGACCCTCGGCGGCGGCGCACACGCGGCAGCAGCCGCAGCGGTCGGGCACCGGCGCCGTGCCGGCCGAGCAGGTGGGCAGTGGCGGGCAGCGCGTGGCATCGCAGACCTCGGGGCAGGGCATCGAGACTCTGGACCTCCTGGCCTCCGCCCAGGGAACAGGCACGGCTGGCAGCAGCAGCAGCCACAGCAGGAGAAACTGTGCCCACACAGCGCAGAGCGGCTGGGAGCTCATCGTGCACCCTGCCCTCCTGGAGTCTACTTTTCCAGTTACTCCGCTCGGGATTCACAACTGGCCTAAAATGAGCAACACTTTTTTCCTGGCCTGGGTGCCGCCTCTGCCAGCCTCCAGACTTTATAAAGGACAGCATCTGGCTCACTTCTGCACACACACACACACACACATCACCTACCACCCATGCCACCCACCCGTAAGCTGTGAAGGGAGGGTCTACTCAAACCAGTCACGGGGCAGGTGACAAACGTGACCACCCACCCACGGCCACGAGATCTGACCAGGAAAACAAACAACCAGATTTCATATTTCACATGTTTTTATTACAAAAACAAGCAACCGAACCGTTTTTAGAAAATTACGTTTTGCTACATACCAATTAGGAAATCACACAACCTAAGAAGCTGGAGTTTCCATGCACTCAGCTCAGTGCTTTCGGAGGTGTGTTTCACAGCTCAAACGGGGCATGCCACACCTTCATAAACAGAGGAGCAAGGGGGTCACGCTGTGTGTTTTCGCCAAACATTTACTTTATTCAGAGCCTACCTAGTATGAGTGACTGTAACTGACTCCGGCAGGCAATAACACACAGAGAAAACGGGAGACTGAGGAAAACAGATTTTAGAGGAAAAAAATTTTTTTTCAAAGTTAAAGAAGTGACATAGGAACCTCAATTTCCAAAAATGCTGCCATTGGCTACCGGATGACTGTTTATTTGGTTAACACTGAAAACATCAAATTCGCCGCTCAACAACTGAACTGTTATTCAGAGTTATTTTAGTCCCGAAGAAAACACATTTATATTCTAAAAAGGAGGAAACAAAACCAGTTTTATTCCAGTAAACTAAGATGCTAGCTGGACCTTAAATCTTCCCCGGGAGCTCAGCATTCTACTTGGGGGTAGGGGTGTCATCCCACTGCCTTGTCCTGAGGTCCCTCTCTGGCTGTGGTCTTCCATATCCTCATCAGGGTTCACAGAATGAGAAAGGCACAGAATTTTTGCCATCACCTGACCTTGGTAAGCGGGTCCATCAAACCTCCCGAGGCTAATGGATGGATGATGAGTCTTTCAGGTGCCGAGAACACTTCCTCAGAAGCCTTGTAGAGGGACCCAACCCACGAGACTGCTTTGTCCCCCCCCCCTCCCCCAAAAAAGTAGTACCTTTTATAATTCAGAAATCCCTTCTGATTTATCCACAACATTTGCTTAACTACAAACCCACACTGCATCACACTCTGTTACCCCCACAGCGTTCTATTTTATACACTGAAAACAAAGTGTATGCACCATCTTTGGCTCACATTAAAATACTGTGATAGGCTGGATATGGTGGTACATGCTTGTAATCCAAGCACTCAGAGGTGGGTTGGAGGCAGAAGGATTACCAGTTCAAAGCCAGCCTGGACTACATAGCAAAACTCCAGCAAAAACAAATTCAAAAGCGGAGGGGGGGTGGGGGGATTAGTATAAAACTGGTCAGAAATCCAGACAGAAAGAGAATTCTGAAATAAGAATTGAGAGTTGAATGTTTCTGGGTTTCACAAAGGTAATTATATTTTCCCAACACCAAAACTATATAGCAATGTTCTAATTTGGAATTCCCACGTGTTGGCCAGTTAGAGTCAATGAAACTCTGTACTTTTCCTTTATTTACATAATGTAAACTGCATTGGGTTTAATCTCACAGCAGTCTCAAAATACTTAATGAAACCTATCAGCTTTCTATAATGACCAGTTAATGCAGCAGTAATAACCTAGCAAACAGTTTGTAGGAGCAAGACAGACATATTTTGCAATTTAAACACCAGAAGATGACATCATCTCGATGAGTCAGGGAATGTGCAAAGCCCGTTCTGGAGTTCCTAGCTTATTTTCAATAGTTCCTCATCTCAGACTGAGCAATTCTGTTGAGCAGCCAAAGAATTTTCTAGAGAAAGATTTTAAGTTGAAACCAGAGACAAAGGACTTTAAGAATTTGGCCTGGCGTTTGAAGTAAGTTGTAACCTTGAGCACTCATAAATAAATAATCCCCAAAGCAAGAGTTTATGAAAACCAAAATACACAAAAGTTTTTTTTAAAAAATAATAATAAAGTGGGGAGGGGAAAGATGGAAAACAGAAAAAGAGAAAGCGATCCAGTGGTTTTTGTTTTTTAGACCAGGAATAAAATAAGGCCAAAGTTAAAGTGGGGGACAACTCCCACAACTGAGCTCAGGGGTCTTCAGTGTGGCACTGGCTTCAGGGTCCACATTAGAAAGAAAACACTTCCTTTCACACTTACGGAGATTTATGCCTGTTTTTCTTTTGCATTAACCATGGACACAAAGATTGGCTTAAATAAAAATGCCTCCTACTCTCTTCTTAGAGCTACAAATTCCTAACTAAAATATACACCTAACTTATACATCTGATAAATGTTACACAGACAGGAATGAGCCACATCCTCTCTCCTTGTGGAAACAGCCCAAAGTCTCTGGGAACACAGTTCACTGAAGGCTGATAGACAAATGCCCCCAAAGGCAATGGAAATAGTATCTTGGACAATGGGAAAGCCACACCCTAAATTTTGGGTAGAAATCCAATCTTCCAAACTCTTCTAGAACCCAGCAAATCCTAGCCAACAATTCATCCACTGGTTCAGTTTCTTTATTCCCAGTTTCTATTCCATAAAAATATAACTATTGAAAAAATTCATCTTTGCTGTTTCTCCATTGGTGAGTACAGAGGATCTTATCAGATGCTGGGATTCCGCTCACTGTATGCATGGCTTCATTTAACAGGCAACTTAAAGCATAAAAAGCAAGTCCATCAGCAGGGTGCACAATATACAAGCACTTAACGTGAGACAAATGTCGACTCATTCTGAAAGAGCTGTGAGACAGGGATGCAAGATTCGCTGTCCCAGAGCAGAACCATTCTCCTGTCTGGAAAACATGAACCAAAGATGCTTCCTGAAATTAACAATCATCCATCTCCTCTTAGTAGCTGCTTTACATTAAGCCTCTGAGATAGAGATTGTATACACACACACACACACACACACACACACACACACACACACACACACACACACAGAAAAGAGAGAGAGAGAGAGAGAGAGAGAGGGAGAGAGAGAGAGAGAGAGAGAGAGAGAGAGAGAGAGGGAGAGAGAGAGAGAATCGCTCTACACTTAACCATCACACATACTCAAAGAACATGGTTTCAAGGGAAGTGTCTGTTCTGGTCTTCGTGGTCCCAGTATTTTAACACTAATAACCCTATCCTCAGGGCCTGACATAGAAAACAGACTGGTGGTGGCTCTGTCACCCAGATCTAGAGCATTTGGGGTCACAGGGAATCAAGAGGACAGCATAATTCCCCCAAGTGGCTATGGCAGTTTAATTAGCCCTCATGACTCATAAGAGGTCCCCTCTCCTCCCCTGGGAGGTGTCCTGAGGGAACTGCCTGGGAAGACATTCCGGAGTTCACCCTTCACTCCCAGATTCTAAGGCCACCTCTCATATGGATCCCAATCAAGCTGTAAGCTGAGTCTCCCGCACCTGATGCCTTTCAGTTCTGATGGTAACCATTTGCCTGATCCCCACACTTCAGCCAAAAAACAAGTGGACGAATCCAGCGCTTAGCCTGGGATCCTGTATATAGACCGGACACAAAACCAAGAAGATAAAAGAAATACAAGGTGGAAGGGAACTTGGTTAGGGGTGAAACTAGACTCCAACTACCCCCCCCCCCCCGACAGGAAGTATTAAAACTAACCCCTCACTAGAAAACCTGGGGGAGAGGGACATTCAAGAGGCAACGGAGTATGCCTGTGGGTCTAACCTAGTGACTTCCTCCAATTAAATACACTGTGTCGACAATAACAAAAACAAAAGCCGTCTGGATGGGCCCCTCCACTGTGAGTGCCATTAGCCTCTGTCCTCCACCATGGCCGAGAAAATGAGTCACAGCGCTGTCTCCTGCACACGATGGCACTGCTTGTCACACATCCGAGGTCCGTATGTTTTCGTCGTCAAGGCTGAACACAAACGGCTTCTCCTTGGGGTGCTGGGGCTCCGACCTGTGCCTGACTCGAGAACTAGCCAGCACCCCGGTGACGTTGCTCTCCCCAGGGTGAGGCATGAATAAAGAGTCGTCCGGAGCATTCTCAGCTGACAACAGCTTTTCCCCAGCCTGGGGGACCGGTGTCCAGGGTTGCCAGGAGGAGGCCACTGAAGGGGCCTTACAGAGAGCCCTTTTTTCCTCCACTGCTGGCCGCCTCCTCAAGATGGAGTTAGGCCCGCTCGCGAGGCTGGAACCTCCAGGTCGCGTCAAAGAAATGGATCTAGAAAAGGATGGCTCCTAAAAGCAGAAAGAAAAGAAAAAGACAAAATAAGGGATTTCCGCCGGGCGGTGGTGGCGCACGCCTTTAATCCCAGCACTCGGGAGGCAGAGCCAGGCGGATCTCTGTGAGTTCGAGGCCAGCCTGGGCTACCAAGTGAGTTCCAGGAAAAGGCGCAAAGCTACACAGAGAAACCCTGTCTCGAAAAACCAAAAAAAATAAAAAAAAAAAAAAAATAAGGGATTTCCCTCACAGTATTTATCCCAAAGTCTCAAGAAAAGTGCCCATCCTTGATCACCAACTCAGACAGGGACACTAGGCGACAAAATTCAAGTCAGTGTATCGAAGTGGGGGGTGGGGGGAGCTTGTAGTCCCCGCTCCCCAGGAGGCTAAGGCTAAGGCAGGAGGATTGCCTGAACTATGAAGCTTTCAGGGCTAGTCTGGGCCACACGGCAAACTCAAAAATAGTACAAATACATTTCGGAAGTAAATAAAGATACTAAGCAGAACTCACTACACATCGTTTGGAGATCTGCTTGACACTGGACTTGTAGGACACATTAGAAACTTCACCTCTCCGTCCAGCCCAATCTCATGTCCACAACAAGCCAAAAAGAGAGGGGAAATGTCCCCCAAGTTAGCAGCAAGAGAAAAACAAGCGAGCCAGCCTACGGCTCAGCTGCATTCATGGCTGGGCTGCCTGCCTACATAACCAAATAAAACACGCTCATTCAAAGCTAATTTATCTTGAAGCAGACACTGTGGCAGAGAGAGGAAGTGACTTACTCTGGGGTGGCACTTGAGGGCCTGGACAGCTGCTCCAATCTCCTGAATCCAGCTGTGCATGTCTTCAGGGCTGTCCGCCTGCAAAACATCCGCAACACTTAGACATATTTTTGGGGTGTGACCTCAGTTTCCAAGTCCCTGGCTCAAGTTCATAAAATCACACCATTCCAGTTCAGAGGGACCTTGGAAACCACGTAGTCTGACTTTTGAGGACATTTCCCCCCGCTGCCATCTCTCTCTTGAAGGACCATAACTAAAACCACTCAAAGTGAAGCTCCCCTGAAGAGAGGGGGGGGGTCCTGTTTTCTGTCTAAACCTACCACCCCATTTTCGCCCCATCTGAAAGACAGCTGAGCCAATCCAGACTCCTAGTGTTTACTCCCAACAGAAAATGAGGTTCAGAATGCCACAGCCCCAGGTTTGAAGCTGGTCTAGACCCCCCCCCCCCGCCCCGTTTCCTCATCTCTCCCATAATTATCTGAATGGAAGTCTCCTACTTTAAATTCCTCTAAAGCAAACTCCCTCTCCCTCCAAGGTATACACGACCACATGTGTTGTCAATGGAAACAGCACCTTCCTGAAAGGACAAGCTACTTGGAGCTGTCTCAAAAACTCCCCCCAGCCTTGGAGTGAGCGCTAAGCCGAAGGGCACACTAGCAGACCGGAGTAAAGCATTTCCCCTTCAAACAACTCCTCACCCCAGAAGGGGGCAGCAGCCTCTCTATGGAAAGAGAAAGAGGAGGCCTGGCCCTGCAGGCAGAGCCTCTGGGCGCCTCCCAGCAGCAGGAAGGGCGGGCGCAAGTGAACACAGAGAGTTGCAGAGGGCCCTGCGCAGTAGCTGCCTGCGGAAGAGTTAGAAAAAAGATTAAAGTTTCACTGTCCCAGCACCTTCCCCTAGCTGTCCACCCCAACACAGAACTGTGTGTGTGTGTGTCGCAAGTGTGCAACAGCCCCCAGCCCCCAAGTGCTCTGCCTGCTCCCCTTGCTTTTCCATACCCCAAACCACTCTGAATTCTACCAGGATAAAACAGGATCGCTTTGCTTTTCATGGGGTTTTGCGTTTCTTGTTTCCTCCCGAACTTGCGTTACTATCCCTCCCCATCACACCCAAACAGAGTCCCTTGGTTAGCACATACCAACAAAAGCACTAGATCAAAAAGAATGACAAAGGCCTGTGGTACACACCTCTCACACCTGCTCCCTGCTAACTTATTTATACTTGCCTCTCCCCATGATGCTTTCTGGCTACTTGGCAGCCTAGTAGCTTTCCAAGAAAAAGACAAATACATCTCTGGTCCAAAGAGAGTAGCCAGAATTAGGTATCCAAACTTTTCCTAAGATCCTGATGAGAGAGAGCCTGTTCCCTAGACAGACCTACAAGGGAGAACTAAGTAAGTTGTGAGGTTCTACTGTTCGACTAGCACCTAGACCACAGGGCTCTCTATGTATTAGTCATGATTGCTATTTTTATTATCATCTGGTAAGAGGGAAGCAAATAAACCTGAAATTCTACCAGCATGGCCCAGCATGGTGACCCACACCTTTAATCTCAGCACTCAGGAGGCAGAGACAGGTGAATCTCTTCGAGTTCTAGACCAGCCTCATCTACATAGGGATTTCCAGGCTAGCCAGGGTTATGCAGTGAGATCATCTCCAAACAACAACAAAACACAACGCATTTCACTGTTACGGATTTATTCAATGCCCTCATCCTGAGATACTTTTCTTCGAATTACATATAAATCCACCCCCAAAGGATCAAAGGATCAAAGGCTGGGCTGGATCTCAGCGGCAGATTACTTGCCTAACACGTGCAAAGCTCTGGGTTCTAGAACCAATAACAAGACAAATTTTAAAAAGGATCAAACAGGATACCATATTTGGTGGAGAAAAGGCTATTATGAATTTACCCCCAAAAAAGCAGATATTGCAACTGATGCTATATAAAATGGAAGTATATTTTATAAAGTATCTTCAGTAGTTTTGACCACTACTTTATATTTTTATTTCAAAGTTATTTTTAAGGGTTGATGAGGCGATGGCTCAGTGGGTAAGCGGGTAGTTGTACAAGCAAGAGGACATGAGTTTGAATCTCCAGGCCCCAAATAAAAGCTGAGCACCTGTACATGCCTGTAATGCCGGTGTTGAGGGCGGGGCACACAAGTGGATTCTAGGGACTCACTAGCCAGCCAGCCTAGGTGAAATGCCAAATTCCAGGTTCAGTGAGAAACTCAAAATTGAGAGCCTGGAGAGATAACTCAGCAGTTAAAAGCATTGGCTGTTTTTCCAAAAGACCCAGATTTGATGTTCAGTGCCCACACAGTGGCTCCAGTTCCACTAGATCCAATGCCCTCTTCTAGTCACCATGGGCACCAGACACACACGTGGTATACCAGGCATACGTGCATGCAAAACACCCACACGAAACAAATAAAATGATTAAAAAAATAAAGTAGAAATCAATAGAGAAAGACATTGACATCCTCTTCTGGCCTCTGCATATATATCACAGGCCTGTGCCCCACATATACATGAACACATACAACACACATATACCATCATTTTTAAATATTATTCAAATAGAAAAGTATTGCACTTGATTCCACACAAGAAAGGATATTATTTCAGAGCTGAGTCCACCCAGTCCAGATGACCTAAAGGTGCCCGACCCTGGGCAGATGGAAAGGGAGATGCCACATGTACCTTCATCTCCCCCTGCCCTGCTCTTGTGTGCATTATGGTTTCTATCCTTGATGGCAGCTTATCAGGAGAGGAATAGATTTCTGAAATGAATCCTTCAACCTGTGGTCCAGTGACCTTCTGAGCATCAGTTCTGAGTCCAGCACTGAAGGATGCAGTGCGTGATGGCAGACCGCAATAAGACACATGCAACATCTACCTCTGTTTACTGCTATTATCCCCTAAAACTCCAGCAGGTCCTTCTTCCTTTCCCAGTGAAGCAATCCCATCTCTAGACACAGCCTCATAATGGATGATTGTATAAATTATGCAGTCTATACTTCTAGGGCAGTGGTTCTCAACCTTCCTAATGCTGTGATCCTTTAATACAGTTTCTTATTTTGTGGTGACCCCCCCCAACCATAAAATTATTTTCATTGCTACCTCATAACTGTAATTTTGCTACTGTGACGAATCATAACATAAATATCTGATATTTCCAATGGTCTTAGGTGACCCCTGTGAAAGGGTTGTTTGACTCCCTTGATCCTCATGCCCCACCCCCCAGGGTGTCATGACCCACAGATTGAGAACACTGTTCAGGTGGTACCCTTCCCCTTAGAGTTGAAGTTCTGACTCCGCTCTCTGGAACTCCCTCGTCACTCTTATGTCACAGGTACGGTTGGCCTGGCACAGCAGCCTGGTTCTGACGAGGGAGCTCCAGACCATTTCATCAGTTCTCATTTCTAGCAACAAACACTCCTGTTGACAAACTGCCAAAGCCCCAGGCCCTCTATGCCTGGGAAACGCAGAAATGGAGACCCCCTGCCCTGTATTTCAAGGATGGGAAGTTGGATTATGTTTAGGGAGTTGCTGGAGACCGACAGCAGAACTTCCCACATTCCAGGCAAGTGCTAAACCACTGAACCGCATCCCAGCTCTGAAGTCTCATCTTGAGCCCTTGCCCAGAACTCAGAAACGTCTACCTGCTGTCAAGATTGGTTCAGTACCGTTTCCACCCAGCTTGAAGCCTGATTACTAACTACCTGGACCTGGTCATCATGATCCATCTTCCAGCATTCCCAGTCACCCCAGGCTGGTCAAAAGTAGATTTTTCTAGTTGTGAGTATAGCCTCTACATAGTGGTTCTCAACCTGTAGGTCATGACCCCCTCTGGGTCACATATCAGATATCCTGCATATCAGATATTTACATCACAATTCATAACTATAGCAAAATTACAGTTATGAAGTAGCAATGAAATAATTTTATGATTGGGGGTGACCACAACATGAGGAACTGTATTAAAGAGGCTCAGTGTTAGGAAGGTTGAGAACCACTGCTCTACAATATAGGCTCTAGGTCTGGCCACTTTGAGCACAAGCAAGTCTTGAACACCAAGTACCTCTCAACTGGTTCCATAACTCACTGAGTTTCTGATCCTAAATGGATCATTTCCCCTTGAAGCTCCTGTCTCCTTATGGACAGATTGGAGATGAGACACAGATAGATTATGGAGAATTAAGTGATACACTTCCGGCTAGCTACTGCTTAACAGGGTCCCCTGAAACAACAGCTGCTTTTTGTTTCTTTTGTTTTTTTGTTTTTCGAGACAGGGTTTCTCTGTGTAGCTTTGGAGCCTGTCCTGCATCTTGCTCTGTAGACCAGGATGGCCTCGAACTCACAGAGGTCCGCCTGGCTCTGCCTCCCGAGTGCACCACCGCCACCCAGCAACAGCTGCTTTTCATGAATTGCAAAGAGTGCTACAGTGTGAGACCACAGAGTGCAGGTGGTGTATCTCAGCCAAAACTTCTAACATCCAAGTGATGGGAACCCAGCCACGGTCCCTCTCTGCCCACAGAGCTCTTTTCTCTGCCTCACCCTGCTTGCTGGTCTCACTCTCCTAGATCCTGCGGATGGACAGAAGGTTCATGCAGATATACTACACACACACACACGATTAAGGGACCAGGTCAGAAAGTCACTCAAGTACAGTGCTCAAACCTCTGGTCCTGCAGAACAAACTCCAAGGACAGAGTTCTCCCACCTTTCACATGAAGTGTGGTTCTTTTTATTTAAAACAAGAGACAGACAGAGACACCGTGGTGCTGTGGGATGGTCTGTATGTCAAGTGTGTTGCTGATTGGTCAATAAATAAATCACTGATTGGCCAGTAGCCAGGCAGGAGGAAGTGTAGGTGGGACAAGGAGGAGAATAAAGCTGGGAAGTGGAAGGCTGAGTCAGAGAGACACTGCCAGCCGCCACGATGACAAACAGCATGTGAAGATGCCGGTAAGCCACGAGTCATGTGGCAAGGTATAGATTAATGGAAATGGATTAATTTAAGCTGTAAGAACAGTTAGCAAGAAGCCTGCCATGGCCATACAGTTTGTAACCAATATAAGTCTCTGTGTTTACTTGGTTGGGTCTGAGCGGCTGTGGGACTGGCAGGTGAGAGAGATTTGCCCTGACTCTGGGCCAGGCAGGAAAACTCCATCTACACCATGAGTCCAATTTATTCAGAGGCACGTATTTTGCAGACTTCATATAAAAAAAAAACAAGTCAGTGATGCCAAAGAAATATCATCATTTCTTTTTGCCAACAACCAATGTTGAGCTCTTACAGCCAAACAGAATTTCAGAAAACTCCCCTTTAATTGCATGAGCTCAACATCCTTCCATATTCAAAAATCTCGCTAATGATATCAATAAATGTGACTTTTAAAATATTACATAATAACATATGTCAACATTTTGAGGATCTGCACTGCTTGGTGAGAGCAGTATTTTCCAAATGATGAGCACAAACTATGGGTAAAAAAGTATCTACTCAAATGGTGACCAGTGGATCTTAGCTAGGCATGTGCAAATGTATTGATAAGCTTCCAGACTACACTGCACCTAAATATTAAGAAATTAAAATTTTTCAAGTTCTGGTAAGAAACCAAAAAGAAATATCTGAAATTATCTAAAAGGATATATTGAAATAATCCTTTTTGTCCAAATACTTATTTGCATAAGGCCAGATTTTCAAATTCTTTAAGGTAAAACATGGATACAGACAGTGTGCTATAAGTAAGAATGAAATTCCTGTTGTCTTCTATGAGCCAACCATGAAAGAGGTGCACAGAGTAGAAAATAATCCTGCTCTGGATATTTTTAGAAGAATAGTTATTTTCACAAGATATTTTCTTAATTTTTCATGAGTTTATAGTTGTAACTTCCAAGTGAATCAATAAATGTGTTTACTGGCTTTTCATCCATTCTTCTCAGACACTCCATTCTCTTAAAGCCGTATGCTACACTTGAATTTGACCTTCACTCATTTATGTATTCAGCGTGATGCTAGTGTCCTTCCCTCTTAGAAATCTGGAGAGCAAAAGGGGAAGGAGTGGGGAAATGGTAAGAACTATGCGAAATCCGGGCCCCTGTTAGATGACGCAATGTCTTCTGAACGTTTTCGGTTGTGCCTCCTGTGTCCCAAATTACTACCCTTAGTTCAGGACTTTCAGAGCATCATTCACTGGACAAGCAAGTATTTAGTCACCAACAGGCCAAGCAGCATCTAGGCAATGCTCATCACAAAGTGTACACTTGGATGTTCCACAGACATGGTCAACTCAATGCTTACCGCTGTGTCATGGTCTGAATGAGGAATGTCCCCCCACAGGCTCATGCATTTGAACATTTGGTCCCTAGTCTATCTGGTCCCCAGTTGGTGGCCCTGTTTGGGGAGGTTATGGAACCTTTAGAAGGTGGAGCCTTGCTGGAGGAAGGCCTTTCCCCTGCTCTTTCTGCTTCCTGCTTCTGCTGTCATGGCATGTCTTTCCTGCCACTGAAGGAACCATAAACTAAGTTGACCCCTTCCTTCCTTGTTGCTCTTGGTCACTGTATCTTATGACAGTAACAGAAAAGTAAGCAGCATGCCTGGTGCTAAGCCCGGTTTTCCTCCCAACGGCTTGCCCTCTGCACTGCCAGGGAAGATGGCAGGTGTCATCAACCAGTGCAAACCTTGGGCCAAACTCCTAGGATTCATCTTCATCTCTCCTCTTCCCCATCATACAACCAACTCTCCAGTCCTCGAGAGTGGACCTCTTCTGCAGCTCAGAAAGTCATCCCTTTCTCTCATCGATCTAAGTCCATCCCCCAAACCCTACCATGGTCTTCAGATTGGCCTTTTTAATCCCACATTGCCCTTTTCTTATCCGCCCTTCATGATACCTGGGGACAAGCAGTCTCCAGGGCCATTAGAAGGGCTGGGCTTGAGTTTTTCATCTCCCTTTTACACATGTGGAAAATGAGACTCCGAGTCCAGGAGCTGTTTCTTTTTGCTCTCATCTTACCTTTGACTCTAAGGAGCAAATATAAGCTTGCTAACAAAGCAGACCCGGCAAAGGGACTCTCTGCCAATAGCTGCACAGCCTACCTCACAGCTCTCTACTCCCCTTCCCCAGGCGCCTGGCCCCCTCTCCCCATGAGTCTTCTGGTCACCATCTTCCTTGGGAACACCTTTCCTGCCTCTGTCTCCCAATGGACAACAGCAGACAGTCTCCATCTAATGGCGGTTCCAGAAGTCACAGTTTTCCGGAGGAGTTGCTTTGGTTTTGTTTTTTAATTTCCTCGGCCCCTTCAGGTGGCTTGTTCTGTGCTGGTGGTAGGTATGTTTAGATTCTTCACCTTCTGCCACTCATGAGGGGATTCCCTGATCTCCTTGATGGTATTTCAACTTGCAAATGCTAAGGGCTAGTCTTTGGTGAAGTTTTAGGCCAGTTCTCCACCATCATAAGCATTATATAGCATAACTTAAATCATCCCACAGATTGCCCTGTGCATCATCTACCAAACATGTGATTTCGCTTGCTTGATTACTTAAAGATCAGGTCCTTCTAATCCGTGACCCCAACCTCAGACCATGCCCAGACCTTTGACCACACTCTACAGACATCAATTCAAGAACCAGAAACTCATGTTAAAGCACAGGCTAGTCCTTGTATCAGAAGGGCAGAGGCACTGGAGAATAACAAGATTTAAGAGCCAAGTGACCCCCCTCCATGATCCAGTCTGCTCCCCAGCCTCCCCTCTGCCATCTCTTCCTGGGCAGTGTGCTCCTCCCAGGGAGGACAGCCTGAAGATGCCAAAGTCAGCCAGCATGACTGCTGGCCTGATGTGGAAAATGAATAGAGACACAAGACCTATTGCTCAAAAACTGGGAAATCAGCCTCATCCTTTTGTGGGAGGGATTCGGTGGGGAAAAGAGAAGAAAGGAAGAGCTGCTGGGTAGCCCAGGCTGAGGACTTGGCCCTGGGTGTCTTCGCCCTGCTTAGAAATTTGCCTTGCTGGCTGCTGTGACTTCATACTGGATTGGGAGAGCTCCAGATTTGGGGGTGGGGGAGCTCCTGGTAAGCGAACCCATCAGAGCCCAAACAATGGCTTTCTCTGTGCAGCTGGCTATGCACCTGTGCCCGCACAGGGCCCTCTGTGCTTCTGTCTTTCTGCACACAGTAATGTCCATACATAGGCAGGACTTATAAATACCCTCCAGAGCAGAAGTGAAACCACCCACCAGTTCCCCTTTTCTCCGCTTAGCTGGAGCTCTGCAGCCGAGTGCAGCTGCTATGGGCACAGGACCTCCATCCTCCGGCACAACTGATTGACTGGTTTGTAGTATCCCAGGGTAGGGAAACTTCTGGCTAGCCTCCTCCTTAGAATGAAGTGGGACACAGACTGACCAAGGGACTGAATTGATCACTGAGAAACCACAAGCTGCTAGAGAGAAGAGGAAACAAGGAGAGGGGTGGGTGGGGTGGCGTTCACCCACATTCGCAGAGGTGGACTGCCGGTCTTGGGGTGAGCGTTTACCTGTACGTAGAATGTCCTGGAGTTGGTTATGATTTCAAACAGGTTGTCCCTCATTAAGAGATCGCTAGGCAGGGAAAGAGAGAGAACATTATACCAGACATTGTGAGTGTTTTATTTTACACATTATTTCCTACAGTTTTCAAAATCACCCACTAATGCCACGCAAGACTTTCTCCTCTGTGTGGGTGAGAAAGCCCAGACTCAGAGACTTCATATGCTATGTCTGTCCAAGGTACTAGAGATCAGCACCCATTGAGTCCAAACATGCCTCTTGTAAGGGAGCTCACGCCATTTCTAAACCCGTCCTTCCCCCCTGGGCAGCAGCAGCTCCACCCACACACAGCTCTGAGTTCCTGCTCTCAGAGCACCGTCCCAGGGGACAAGTAGCTAAAGGGAGGAACAGAAATCAAGAGTAAACGACTTTAAGATTTGCTTCCCAGGAAACTGCTCGACCTCCTTAGCCAGCAGAGAAATGCAAATTCAAAGTATTTTGAGATTTCATCTTACCCCAGTCAGAATGACCCACAGCAGGAAGATGAACGCTGGCAAAGATATGGGGAAAGATGAACTCTTACTTACTAATGGGATGAGTGTAAACTGGTACAGCCACTATGGAAATCAGCCTGGAAACTCCTCAAGAAACTAAAACTAAAACGACCACATGACTCATCTACACTACTCCTGACATGTGCCGGGAAGACTCCACTACTGTGGGGATACCTGCACACCCCTGGCAAGTACTGTATTCCTCACCATAGCATGGGAATGGTATCAACCTTGATGTCCGTCAGGAGATGAATGGTACACAGACATAATGGAATTCATTTGGTTGGAAAGAAAAATAAAGGGGCTGGATAGATAGCTCAACAGTTAAGAGCACCCCCTGCTCTACCAGAGGACCTGGGTTCAGTTCAGAGTACCCATATCAGGAGGCTCACAACCACGGGAGATCCCAGTTCCAGGGGATCTGACACTCTCTTCTGGCCTCCCCAGGTACCTGCACTTACGTGGCATACACTCACACAGATAGTTTGAATCCACATAAATAATTAAAAAAAAATAAAAATAATTTTAAAAAGAAAAATGAAATCATGGAATTTGCAGAAAAATTGATGGAACTGGAAATTATTATATTAAGCCAAGTAACTCAGACTGAGAAAGACTGATACGGTGCATTTTCTGTCACAGCTGGATCCTAGACTTTAATTTTTATACATGTGTAAATTCACATGTGAGGGTGAATAACACGCCATGAAACTAAGAAAGAACCATGAAGGCCGGCAAGATGGCTGGCTCAGCGGGTAAGCAACTTGCCACCCTCCTCCCCCTCTTCCCCCCCACCCCGAGTCTGATGCGGCAGAGGGAGAGAACCACCTCCTACAGGTAACCTTTTGACCTCCACGTGTACATGTATGTACATGTACACATACACCAACAAATAATGTGCAAAAAATTAAGAAAGGGGCGGGACCATGAAGATGGAAACAAAGAGGTTGTGAGGGGGGTGGAATGCAGAGTGCGGATGACTGTGGGCACAGAGGACCACCGTGGAGCATGGGAGGAGACGAGAGTGGGGACAGGGGACAGCAAAAATCATGTGTACGAAAATGGCCCATTGAAACCTATTCCTTTGTACGCCTGTATAAAATCAACTTAAAAATTAGTTTCCTTCATTGGGGGCAAAAGAAAAAGATCTGCTTCTAGGGATAGGGTGTAGCTTAGTGGTGGTGCAGCCAACACCAAGCAAATGATAATAGGCTTCTGAGAGAGAGAGAGAGAGAGAGAGAGAGAGAGAGAGAGAGAGAGAGAGGGAGAGGGAGAGGGACAGAGAGAGCATGGATTTGATGGAGATCAGGGAGGGAAATGTGGACAGGTTTGGAAGAATAAATGGAAGGGAGAAATATTGTCATCGAATTGCACTCTCAAAAAGAACAACAAGCCTCACACACGGACGGACGGACGGACGGACGGTGTGGGTTTTGGAAGAGGGACTCCGACTCCCGCCAAGCAGAGGGCAAGAAGGAAGTGGTGAGGACACAAACCCGGATTGGCTGGAGCCGTTTTCTGTGCTCACTAACTGCTGTGTCACTGTGGGGACTGTATGAGGAGTAAAGACCTAATGGCTACCAGGAAAAGCACCCGAGGAGGCGAGACCAGATGCAGGTAAGACTGCATTCCATGTTAACAAAGAGCCTCGTGCCAGGGAAGGGTTGGTCACAGGCAGAAATGTCTTCTAGAAGGAAAACACCGAAGTGACATGGCCCGTGACATGCCCTCCAAGCAGAGGAGGGATATGACTTAAGACTAGGTAGGACACGGAGACCTAGCCCAAACACCGGTGAGAGAAAAAGTCTCTGGGACATGTACTATAAATGTGGTCAGCCCTTGAGTGAGAGATGAAAACAAAAAGATGCTTACTGACCACCACCAAAGGCAGCTCGAACAGCAGGGACCACGTGAAATACATCCCACCAACTATTCCCCTACTTTCTGAGCGTCTCCCTCTTCACAGGGACAGCTCTCCTTAAGAAAATGGCTTCATAAGATCAGGCTGTAGGCAAGTCTGCAAGGGCATTTTCTTAATTAGTGACTGATGTGGGAGGGCTCAGTCCATTGAAGGTGTTGCCATCCCTGGGCAGGCAGTCCCAGGTTCTAGAAAGCAGGCTGAACAAGCCATGTGGAGCAAGCCAGTAAGCAGCACCCTTCCATGGCCTCTGCATCAGCTCTTGACTCCATGTACCTGTCCTGAATTCCTTTGAGGATGAACAGTGATGTGGAAGTGTAAGACAACTAAATCCTTTCCTCCCCAAGTGCTTTTTGGTGTTTTGAAGCAACAGAAAGCCTAACTAGGCTGGAGAGATGGCTCAGAGGTTAAGAGCACTGACTACTCTTCCAGAGGTCCTGAGTTCAATTCCCAGCAACCCCATGGTGGCTCACAACCATCTATAATGAGATCTGGCACCTTCTTCTGTGTACATAATAAATAAATAAAATCAGCTGGGTGGTGGTGGCACATGTCTTTAATCCCAGCACTCAGGAAGCAGAGCCAGGTGAATCTTTGTGAGTTTGGGTCCAGCCTGGTCTACAAAGTGAGAAACCCTGTCTCGAAAAATAAATAAATAAATAAATAAATAAATAAATAAATAAATAAAAGAAAATCTTAAAGAAAGAAAGAAAGGAAAGAAAGAAAGAAAGAAAGAAAGAAAGAAAGAAAGAAAGAAAGAAAGAAAGAAAGAAAGAAAGAAAGGAAGAAAGCCTAACTAAGATAGGGCTAGATGTTTTAACATTCTAAATTATTCATGCAAATGCCGTAAGTCCCAGAATCCACAGAGGGATAAAATCAAGCAGGAAGGGAGTTCTACCCTTTTCTCATTCACTGCCCAGACTGCATGCTGCATTCAGTTCGATTCAATTCAACAGCAATCATTGATTACAGCTGTCCTGAATTCCCCCAATGGCTCCAAGGAGGCTCCACCATCTAACAGAGCTGAAGCCACAACCTTGCCTGTGGACTTCACCTCCCTGACTCAAGTTCAGTGTGACTCAGGCAGAGTCAGAGGTAGGGCGAGTTTTCAACTCTCAGGCTTGCTCTCCAAGCTGGGCTAGCATATCCAAGTAGCCTCACAAGCTACTCACAGATCTACACAGGCCCTCCAGGGTCAGGAGCAGTCAATCATCTCCCATGATCGGTCATGCTGAGTTCTGCCCTCTGATGCCACACTCGGGCAATGTCTAGCTACAGCTACTTCCATGAATTGCAAATTACCCCTCCATGTCTCCCCAATCTCTTGTACCCTACAACTGCTATTTGAAAGACTTAGTCCAGCATTTCTGCCCCTGCTTCTGTGGATCATACAGCATGTGTGTTTATGGAGGGTGGTGCCATGCTTTCACAGGAGAGCAGCATGCCTACTGCTGAGATCCCCTCATGGCCTCCAGGAGGGAAAGACTCAAGCAGGTTGGACAGACTACAGACCCAGGGCCAAAAAGATATGCCTGGGGGTCTATTAAAGTTCACTCGTCCACGAGCACCTGTATTTGGGGCCGGGTATGGGACAATTTCTTGTCAAGTCCTGAATCATCCTACAAACCATGCGGTCAGAATGTATGCTTTCTAGTGGAAAGAGGAACAAATAAAAATACTTGTTCCACCAAGCGGTAGCAACACAAGGATGTTGTGAATCACCCCATGTATTAATGGAGTATCAAGAACAAAGGAGGAATGCCAGGTGGTGGTGGCGCATGCCTTTAATCCCAGCACTCGGGAGGCAGAGGCAGGCGGATCTCTGTGAGTTTGATGCCAGCCTGGTCTACAGAGTGAGTTTCAGGACAGGCACCAAAACTACACAGAGAAACCCTGTCTTGAAAAATCAGAAAAAAAAAAAAAAAAAAGAGTAGGGAAAGGGAAGAGGGTATTTGGCCAGCATGATCTCCACGCTGCATCAGTTTTGAGACATTCAGTCAAGCACAGGGACACCGATTCTTAAATAGAACCCGCAAAAGGGTAATGAATGAAGATTCAAAGAAGACAGAGGCTCTGCTCAGAATGAGTAAGAAGGGGCTGGAGAGATGGCTCAGCAGGTAAGAGCACTGGCTACTCTTCTAGAAGACCCAGGTTCAATTCCCAGCACCCACATGGCAACTCACATCTGTCTGTAACTCCAATTCCAGAGGATCTGGTACCCTCACATAGACACACATGCAGGCAAAAACACCATAAAAAAATAAATGAATAAGAAGAGGCAATTACCCAGACTTGACGAGACATTCGTGAGTCTTAAGAACATCCTTGAGCAGTATAGTGCGCAGAGGCTCTCTGTCCTGGTGGGAAGGATGGAAGATGGACACATGAGGCTATCTATGTACATGGGCCAATGACCCACACCAGCTCACCAAAAATGTCCCTCTCTCAGAGTCTTGGCTAAAACCAACCTGGTTTCAAAATAATCATTAAGGGGTTGAAATCTAAGCAGCAGCTGCTCTGTGACTCCGCCCCCACAGCAGCCCACTGCGCAGAAGCTGGCAGCAGCCCAGGTCCTTTTAATAGCATCATAAAGAGACACAGGTTGGACAGAGATGAGACAAAGAGGGGCCTTGGAAGTCCACGTGGGCCTGGTCCCCACTCACGCATGCTCTCTGCTTCTGTAATCTCTCGGGAGGGACCGGAACCTACGACCCACCTGCTCACACTTGAAGTAGCAGATGGTAAAGTCGTCCAGGGCAAAGAATCGCCGTTTCCAACTCTTCCGCTGAAATGCAAAAGAAGGAGCCACGCGTTAAGGATAGGTCTCCAGCACCAGGACTGGCACTGTCATAAGAAATGCCCAGGGATCCAGCACCATTGAAGCCAGGCTCCCCTCTTCATCGGGGACAAATAACGGGAATTATGTGGGAAGTGTGAAGGCAGTGACAGGCCCAGGCCTCCATCTGAGCCCCACCTTCCCAAGACCAAGCACCTAACTCTAATGCCCGAGAAGTGCCCGAGTGCCATCCTCTGCTGCCAGCAGAAGCTACCACCGTGCCGGTTAGTTTTACATCAACTTGAAACAAACTAGAGTCATCTGAGAGGAGGGAACCTCAATGAAGAAAATGCCTCCATCAAAGTGGGCTGTAGGCAAGCCTCAATTGAGAAAATGCCTTCAGAAGATCCGGATGCAGGGCATTTTCGTAATTAGTGATCAATGGGGGAGGGTCCAGTCCCTTGTGGGCAGGGTTATCCTTGGGCTGGCGGTCCCAGGTTCTATAAGAAAGTTGGCTGAGCAAGCCATGTGATCAAGCCAGTAAGCAGCACCCCTCCGTGGCCTCTGCACCAGCTCCTGCCTCCAGGTTCCTACCCTGCTCGAGTTCCTGTCCTGACTTCCGTCAATGGTGAACAGTGCTGGGAAAAGTGTAAGCCGAATAAACCCTTCCCTCCCCAACTTGCTTTCTGGTCACGGTGTTTCATCTCAACGATAGAAACTCTGACTAAGACAACTCTATGGGGTCATTCTCTTAGGAGCAAGAGAAGGGAAGTGGGAGGAGGGAAATCTGCCCATCAGTCTGCAAACTGCATCAGTTTGAAGGCAATGAGGCTTCTTCCCATCAGGGGCATGCTTTCTGGGGGCGCTAATGGCTAGTTCCCAGTGGTGGTTAGCATAGGGGGTACCGCTCTTCCTCTCGCTGTCCTCTGCTGCATCCACGCCCACTGGCTCCAAGGAGTCGTCAGAATCGTCAGAACCCCCATGTAGCCCTCCCCGCCCGCTCCGTGCTGGTACTCACCACGTTCCCTTGCTTCACACAGTAGCCACTCTTAATGAGGGGCGGCCCGGTGGAAGGACGGCAGCCTGATGTGGGGATGTAGCTCTGAGACCTTCGCAGGAAGGCGTGAGAGCCTGGCTCACTCCCTTCCTGCCCATCCCCACCGTTCTACAAGGAAACAGTGTCACTGTTAATACCCCCAGGTCACTCCTCTGGGCAGCCCCGGCCCCTCCCAGCCTTCCCACCACACCTCTATCCTTTTTTAATATCATGTCAGTCAAAGAAACGAAAACGGACTTTGCTTCCCATCAGGCGCTCCTCTGAGTGTTTCCACAAAGCAAGACACTGTCTAGAGAGACCCAGAGGAGGAAGGGCAGGCAAGGCAGAAGCGAAGAGGACATGAGCCCCAAATGGAAAGATGGGCTGCAGACTTGGGTCCAGCCTCAGCCACACTTTAAGTTTTACAAGTGTTCATTGTCTGGGTCGTAAGCAGAAGCACATAGACCACACATCCTCAAGAAGTCATGATGTCATGGCCTAAACTTCTACATTGGCACTGGCCACAGCCACCCTGCACTGTATTGTCGTGGTCACCCCTCTCTGCTAGCTCCACACATCCCATGGCTATGTGCCGGTCCTTGGGCACAGTGGACATTTCTTCACCGCCCCCAGCAGCCCCAACCAATGGCACCTGACTGATGGGTGTTTGCACCACCACGCCTCCAATGATCTCAGTCTTGTAGGCCACCTGCGGCTTCTTCTCTAGGGTGGGAGGAGCTGTTAGGCTTCTGAGAACTTCAGTGGCCAAGGGGAGGGTCCCAGCCTTAGGTACCTGGGAAGAACAGTGTGATATGATCAGCAAGGAACAGAGAGCTTAGGAAAAAGGCAGAACCACGAACAGAATGTGGGTGCAAAGAAAAGCTAATTTACTAAATGACGGTAAGAACACTCTCCTCTCCCCTCCAGCTCTTCCACATACATCCATTGCCAAATATGAGGAACTCAGCAGTAACCCCCTACACACCCTTACACAGTTACACACGCAAATGCATAATACACATGTACAAACACACACATACATACACATTTTCACACACAAATGCATACATACACATGTACACAACACACACACAGATGCACATACACAAATGCACACATACACATGTCCACATGAACACACACATACACATAACACACACAAACAAACTTGATGCATACCTATAGAATGAGCTAACCCTGATTAGAAAGCAAAGATCAAACTCCAGATAGAACAGACAAGAGCCCTAGTCTCTTTGCACTCATGCTAGTAAAGACTGAACAAAAGGTCCTGGGCAAAACAAGGAGTCAGAATATTTATAAATGAGCAGGGCATGGTAGAACATATACATATATCCATATATCCATTCATACACACACACACACACACACACACACACACACACACACACATACACACTCACTCTTCTGCCACCACCTCTCCGTAACAATCCAGAAGTTCACCCTTCTGTCCTTCAGGCGGCCTGATGTGCAGCAGCAGTCCCCACATCATGGTCCAACCAGTGCCAAGGGAAGTACTCAGCTTCCCGCTGCCTCTTGGTTCAGGGCCATGATTGTCTCAATTTTATACATAAGGTAAACTCAGCTCATCAGAGCTGTGTCCTTTATTCCTAGGATGCTAACTAGCACTACCCACCCCCGACACACACACACACTCAAGCCACCCTCGTTAATTTCCTGTGAGTGTCTGAGGTAGCGACCCATACCCAGAGCACAGAGACAGCACACAGAACGACCCTTCCTCCACCAGCCTTGCCTCACCCTCCCTTTGTGCAGGTTTACCAAGGTTTACCAGAATAGTAAACAGCTGGCACACTGCTTAAATGGCTAAATCTTACCCTGTGTGGGTCCAGCAACACAAATGCTGGACAGATATATAGAGTTCATCTACTAATATTCATGGGACCTCTAAGGTGTCCGGAAGAATAATTTGACCCAGTGATGGGCATTTTTATTCAAAATCATTGAAAGACCAATATTTCTGACTGCATGTGCTGCCTAATCTTATTTCAACTTGACACAAGCTAGAGTTATCAGAGAGAAGGGAGCCTCAGTTGAGAAAATGCCTCCATGAGATCCAGATGTAAGACATTTTCTTGGTGATTGATGGAGGAGGGTCTGGCCCATTGTGGATGAGGCCATCCCTGGGTTGCTGGTCCTGGGTTCTTTAAGAAAGCAGGCTGAGCAAGCCATGAGGAGCAAGCCAGTCAGCAGCACCCCTCCATGGCCTCTGCATCAGCTCCTGCCTCCGGGTTCCTTCCTTATTTGAGTTCCTGTCTTGACTTCCTTCACAAAGATGGACTGCAATGTGGAAGTGTAAGCCACATTAAACCCCTTCCTCCCCAGATTGTTTTTAGTTATAGGGTTTCATCGCAGCGATAGAAACCCTGAGATGCTGTGCAACCCAGAATTTCTAAGTTTTCAGCAAACTGTGCCTGACTTGCTGGGTTTCATTTCGCTGTTGTTCTTTTTTTTCCTCAAAGCAGTGTTTGCTACAGTCACTAACTGTTCCCCATGTTGGAGGCCTGGTCCCCAGCCTGTGGCACTATTGGGAAGCAGTGGGGCTTTCCAGAGATGGGACAGAGTGGGGAAAGTTACGTCATTGGGCATTCGCCCTTCATGGGGATACTGGGAGCCCAGCTCTTTCTTGCTCTGTTCTTTGCTTCCCAACTACTGGGAGATAAACAGGTCTGTGTCACATGCTCCCCCTCGATGGTCTGCCTGATCACAGGCCCAAAGCAGCAGGGATAAGCCCCCACGATCTGCAATTAACCTCTCCTTCTTATAACTAGATTATTTCCAGCATGTTGTCACCGTGTTGGGAGCTAACACATCTTTCTCCCTCTCCTTTCTTCTAACTCTTCTGTTTCATTTTTTTTTTTTATAAATATTTGTAGGGAACAGGAAATAAATTCCCCATTAGCCAAGTCCAGGAAAACAAGAGTACTTAATGCAGTCCATGAGCAAGTTTCAAAGTTAGCAAAGCTTTTAAATGGAAGACTTTCCCAGAGCCGACAAAGAAGAATATCCCCCAAACTAGAAAAAAAAAAAAATGAGATCTAAGTTCCTGCTCGTATACTTTCCCCATCCCTCGACTTCTCATAGTCAGCAATCCTTTTTCCAGCACAACACTGAATCAGCATCCCATAGTTACCCAGAACATGGCTGATAGGAGCCCCTCCCAGGAAGCACAGAGGGGATGGGACGCTCCATAAACTTCCCCTTGAACTTGATGCAAACTCAGACTCTCAAGTTCACTTGTAGTTTTCAGCCAATGGACAGGGTCAGAGAGAGCCAGCCAGGCCTGCACAGGCTCCGGGCAAGTCCCTGCTGCCTTCTGAGTTCTGTCCCTGCCCCACTGAGGTCCCAACACTGGGACACGCCACTTTCACTACCAGAAAGAACAAAAAGTATACATACAGTGATCTTGCTGGCTTGGTTCAAGGCTTCAACCCAGTCTTTCAGATCTTTCTGGTCATTAGCTTGAAGAAAATATCTCTGAGACAGGGCATTGATAACTGGAAAAGAGTAATGGGGACAGGGAGAAAAGGTTTTGGGTCAGAATTCATGGACCACGAGAGCCCAGGAAATTAGGATGTCTGAGGTGACAAGACCCATAAAGGCCATTCAGCAGATCCAGAAACTGCCCACGGTGTTAAGTCACTTGCATATTCAGAAACAGCAGACCACAGCAGCTCATCTTTAAAAGGAGGGATTCTCCCATCAGCCACCAGCATGACACTGGCATTAAGAGTAGCCACAGTGTGCTATTGGTAACCACAGGGCTACTCATCTGCCACCAAGAAGACATTCACCAAGCACTGTGGGCGACTCCGGCTACTGGCCTGCTGGTGCGCTAAGCTGGGAGCCTCGGGCTTGCTTCCACAAGCACAATCCTGTCTGTGTCTGGGAAATGGAAGAAGGCTTGCTCGAGATCAGGCATGTGCCCCTGTCCCCATCTTCAGCCTGTTCTTCCCTCACAGCATTTCCTTAGTCAACAGCTTACCTCTGAGTTTCTTTATTATTGTTGTTGTTGTTCATACTTTATTAGATGAGCAGACCGCAAAGTCTAAGAGTGATTTCTGAACTTAGTAATGATATTTGGAAGAAACAGGAGAAAGAGGGCACCAATCTGAAGTCGGGAGAAAGGGGTCACTTCATCCCTCTAGCATAAACATGGAGTCAAGAAGTCATTGCGGGGGGGGGGGGGGGAACCAAGAATCCCCTGTTTCATTCATACAATAAATATGTATTGAGGACCTGCTATGAGCCAGCAGCCACCCTATGTGCTGAGAACACGCAGTAACAAAGCAAGAGGTGGCTCTGCCTCCCTGAAGCTTACGTTCAGAGCCTCCCTGGACGCAGACATGCCTCAGCATCTGCTCACAAGTACAGCTGGCTGGTCAACGATTCAGTGACCGCTCACTGGACTCAACAGGAGAGAGGCTTGAGGCATTGACAGAGTGGCCCTGGCTTCCTATGCCACTAACAACCCTCCCCCCAACTGCCACTCACTGGCAGCCTTGAGACCCCCAATTTTCCTTCATTGTAATTCTTTCCTGCCTCTCTTCCCCTCTCTCTCTCAGATCTCCTCATTTCCGACATCACCGCACAACTCTCAAGTGAAGGCTCCCAGAAACTTCGACGAGATGTTTTCTATCCACCCTGCGGCATCAAGAAAACTGAAACGCAGCCACAGCCTTTAGCTTCGCCCGTAATCCCAGCACTGTGGAGTCTGGGTTCCGTAGAAGCGAAGTTCCAGGCCAGCTTGGGCATGGACGGAGGGAAAGAAAGGGGCGGGGGAGAGAAAAAGAAGACGGGGCAGGAGGCAGACAGTGAGCAGAGGCCAGCCTGGCTAAAACACACAAGTTATTAATAATCTTTGCAGTGGTGCTACTTGGCATCCAGACCACTGCTATTATCTAAGCCACTCAGACACACAGGATACAGTTCACATGGGACCACAGGGCTGTCGACCATGGAAAAGGAGTTGTCACATGCCCGTTTAGAAAACCCACCGTGGCTCAGTACTTACCGAAGCAGAATGGAGTTTTGGGTTTCTGCTTTGGGGTAGCAATGCTCACCTATACCAAACAGAGACAAAAGAGACATGACTGTGTTTCCAACAGCATGAAAAAAAATGTTTACACATGTACATATAAATGTTATACATATGTATAAATATTTCATACATATAAAGAGCCTATCAAATGTACATTTGTACGTTTTGAAGAGCAATAATTGAGTCTTGCCTCAATCTCTTAAGAAACAGGCATTATCAATCCTGTTCCTTAAAACAGTGGTTCCCGACCTTCCTAATGCTTAGACCCTTTAATACAGTTCCTTATGTTGTGATGACCCCCAACCATAAAATTATCTCGTTGCTACTTCATAGCTGTAATTTTGCTACTGCTATGAATTGTAATGTAAATATCTAATATGCACGATGTCCGAAATGTGATTCTCAGAGGTCGTGACCCACAGGTTGAGAAGCCCTGTCTTAGATACTCAGTATACCCTTTTGTAGCATGAATCTTAAAAGTTCTTATTAATAAAATCAAGGTGTGAGTGCCAACATTTTCTAGCCTTTGTATCTAGTGGCTGTTCTGTCTCTGACTCCAGATAAGTTTATTAGGGTGCACAATATTTTGGGGAACACAATACCACCACACCCCTTCTATAATAGAATCTCTACCACCCTCATAGCTGCTATCTTGATGTCTGCCTGTGTTAATTTTGTCTCTGCAGAACACTTTAAAAGCCACCGGGTCAGGACAAGATTCTCTGAGCCACAAGATCTAGCAGAGTCCCATTCATATCAGCAGGCTTCTATTATACTTGCAAGAGCTAACCCCTTTTCCCTCAATAGTCTCCCAACCGAAAGTGGTATTTCTTTGGACATACAAACTCTGATCAAAGCAGAAAGGGGTGGGTCAGGGGAGGGTGGCAAGCACTTCTGTATTTAAATATGCTGTCCAAAGGCCTAGCTATCTATGCTGGCCATGGACACAGGCAACTTTCCAGCAACCCAGAGAGCAAGCGGCTGACTGAGTGAGCTCACACTGGGTCTATTCAAGAGCAGGGCCTGAGAAAATGGGAATACTGGTGTACAGGAATACTAGCTTTGCAATCCCATCTCTTGCATGGGCATTGCTGTCTATTTGCACAGGAGCCAGGTATCTCTCAGGCTCATGTTCCATCATACTCTACAAAGATTTGGTGATTATCCTACATGCTGGTGCAGCCACACTGAACACTCCGCACATCCCACTCACTGGGGATGTCTAGTGAGGTAGCACCTCCCATGGAACCTTTCCACATACAGTCACCATCCTGCCCTGGACACTGTTCTCTCAATCCCCTCTCTAGCCATCCTGGGTCTTCTTGTTCTCCTCCCAGGACTCTGGGACTTGGAATTAGAAGCAGGAATTATAGTCTTGAGGTGAAAGTGATGTCTCCTTGTGGCTCAAAGTTGCTAGAAATCTAATGTTGACTGACACACTGTTGCTCTTGACCCTAAAGTCTTCCTATAGACCCGACTTGATTCTTTAGCCAAAATTAACCTTGTCCCAAATACTCAACCAGGAACTGAGGTGGCACCCTACAAAATATCAAAAGAATAAATAGTAGAAGCTAGCTTTGGAATCAGTTTGAAATCACAAGTGTGTGACCTCCATGACATGGTCTGTCAAGAAAGGAATCATAAAGTCATGTTCCCATGGAGTTAACATAAGCATAGAATCTGCTCATCAAAGAGAGACTATTATTCCAGGCAAGGCAGTGTACATCTGTAATCCCAGCACTCAGGAAACTCAGATGAAAGGATCTTGACTTCCAGGTCATCTTAGGCTACACAGCAAGTTTCAGGCTAGCCTGGGTTACATGGGTGGACCTGGTCTTAAATCACACACCAATGCATGCACATGCACACACACAATAATAATAATAAATATATTATTATTGTTGTTATTTTAAAAAAACTGCTTAGCTTCCAACATTTAAAAAAAAGCACGCATGGCATTTCCAATGTTAATGATTAAATGCCTGCATAACATTACATCATCCTCAATGACAAGTATTTAAAGCATACAAGATGTCACGCGGCCCCTGTTTCTGAAGGCTCAAGGATGAAGGACTGCTTTTGCTGATGACCTTGCTACCAGCAGAATGCCAAGGCTGCACAGGGCATCACCAGGGAGAGTCAGAAAAGAATATGCCGATGTGTGTATGTTCAATCCTCTGTAAGATGAGGGAACCCTGAGGTGGAGGAGGCCCTGTGGCCGAAAAAAGTTCTGAAGAACCGGGAGGGGAGCCCACAAATCTGAGCTCTGACAGACTAGCAGAGGCAGCCATGTCTGCGTACTTCACAGGTAGCACTCAGAGGGGCTGTCAATCATGGCCCTGAGCCACCTTGTCTCCCTGAGGTCCGGTCCAAGCCAGTTGCTAAGCTGCAGCCACTCATTTCCCGGCTGTGGCCTTCAGCATCTGTGCTCCCCCGGGCAGCCTCCCCGTTAGTCAGCGGCCATGCTGTGCTGGGTTCCTGCACTAACCCCAGTGTCACAGAGCTGCCTGTGTGCTGTCCCCGATGGCACCCACCTGCCTCCCAGCTCCCTTCTCATCCAGCTGGCAATTTTGGTCCCCGAGATCCTCTCTCCTCGTATTTACCACCAACTGGACAGAGTGCCACAGGCTGACCCTTTCCCCCTACATGGATTACAAATGCTCATGCTCGCTGCGCTGATTAGTCAGCCTGGGAAAATGCTACCCATGCAGTTATCGTGAGAACCGGAGCTTCCAAAGGCAATACACGGCCTTCTGCTTGCTCTTCTCTGTGTACGTACTTGATAGGAGGGCCACAGGCATGTGCATTTACAGTGTGCCTCAGCCTCGTGGCTTAGTGTAGAAGTATTGTTGGGAAAAGTGATTCATTGACAAACTAATGGGGTTGGTCCCAGTTCTGACCTGCTTGGCCATGGGACAGGGTTGAGAGCCTCTACAGACTGGCTTCTCCCTTAGTAAGGCCAGTGTGAAAAGGTAAGCGCTCTTCTCAGAGACACAGGACAGCAGGAGCAGACAATGAATCTGCCCACCTGTGACTATGTCCACAGAGAAAGGCTGCTCAGAACTCTGGCTCTGGCCTCTCTCCCTGACAGCAGGCCCCCAGAGGTATGAACCGCCCCAAGCCACCTGCCACCTGTTGGCCATTGTGCCAGGCCGCAGCAGCCATCTTCAAACACAGGAAGAGAACAGAGGACCTGCAGGAAGCAGGGTGGCCACAGGTGGGTGAGGACACCCAGCAGTCTGACTCAAGTGCGAGCACCCAGGCACAAACATCCTCACACACCACACAGCGGCCACAACTGAGTCACTGCCCAACCGTGGTTTACTGGCAGGTCCTGTGAGCACGTCAACAGCAAGAGAGGGTTGGGATGTGAGGAACAGAGTGCCCGTGGGGCCCCCCACGCAGTGACGCAGAAGAGTCACTGGGTAGCTGGACAGTCTCAGGAGCTTTTGCTTATCAGATCAAATACAGACCTGGGAGGGACACTGTGAGGGCCAGCCACACCCTGTCTGCCATCGAGGGGAAGTGGAGCTGGGGCCCCTCCAGCAGAAGAAACAAGAGCCGAATAAGGCCTGGGAGAACTGAAACATTGTTCCGGTGTCAGGGGAAACTTGTCCCTCAAGGGGGCACTAAGAGCAATAAAGTAAGAAGTCACCAACAGTCATCAGAGGGCTTCAAGCTGGTACACAGAAGTCAGCCTATTTATCTGGAAAGTGAGTCAATACGCTTCATTGAACTCTTCAGCGCAGTGGTTCTCACTGACCTTTGAATACAGTTCCTCATGTTGTGGTGACCCCCCCCCCCACACACACACACCATAAAATTATTTTCCTTGCTACTTTATAACTGTAATTTTGCTACTGTTATGGGTAGTAATGTAAATATCTGTGTTTTCTGATGGTCTTAAGCGACCCCTGTGAAAGGATCGTTCGACACTCCCTACCCCCCCCCATCCCAGGCAAAGGGGTTTCGACCCACAGGTTGAGAACCACTGCTCTGGCCTACCCAGACCCCTCACCCCCACCCCACACACAAACAGTTAATAACCCCACTTTCGGAAGACCTGTTATCTATCAGAAGCCCTCATGAAATAGGTCCAGGCTGGGCAGAATTGGGGCCAGATGGCGTGAAGATGTCTGGAATGGGGGAGAAGGGCTATAACAAAAAGGTAGTAGCACCGTGGGCCAGGTTCAGTTATTTTCTAGTGTGCCCAAAGACCGGTTCTGCTGCCATAATGCCCTGGGAACAGACACTTGTATCTCCGACTGCCTCTCTGGAGGACCCCCTCCTCCCACCCCATGCCAGCCCCATCTTCCCCACAGGAGATCGGGGACAAAGCAAGCCAGCACATCTGACACTGTGCAAACACTCGACCCTGGGAGTGACCAAAGGCTAACAAAAAAGCTGAGGACTCAGGAAACCAGCCACCCCAGGCCCTGGGGATGTGTTCTGGGCAGCGGGCTAGCTGGAGCTGAGGCCCCTGTGGGTTTTTCAAAGACCCGTGCAGGCTTGCCTGTCCCAGGAAGGGCGAAAAGTCAGGTCATCCCTTCTAAACGAGGCAAAGAACACTGAAAGCCTCATCTGGGCTGCATTTATAAATCATGATTCAGCAGGAGATTGTATTCACTCTTCCCTGGCCAAAAAAAAAAAAAAAAAAAAAAAAACAACTTCCCAAACCCTCACACAGGGGAGATGGTTTCAGTTTTCATTTTTGACAGGGTTCTCTGCTTCCCCTCTCTCAATTCCCGTTCTGGAGAAATGACCTCATGCGCTCACAGCAGATGAAAAGGGAGGGCCCCCGGGGGAGGGAGGAGGGGGGAGGGGGAGGGAGGGCCAGGCGGGCGGGCGGCCCTGGCCTAGGGAGGCTGCCCCATTTCTTATCAAAAGGCATGCACAAATTGCCTGCAGCTGTGCTAGCAAAGCTGCACTTTTAACCACTGCTCTTCCCCTGAGGCCATTATCTCCTCTCTAATGGGCTCAGCCACTGCCCAGCGTCTTCTGCCTCCCTGAGATGGATCTGCAGCTGGCAGGCACGGGATGAGCCTGGCGGGTCCAGCCATAGATGGCCGCTCCTCTCGGGGCATCTCTTGACCCATCTCTTTGAAGCGTCCCTCACCACCCCATCCCCGTGGGAGCATCTCACAGATCTCCTTCAATCTGCTACCAGATGGAGCTGGTAGCGCCTTAGCTCAGCCCCTAGCCCCTAGGCCCTCAAAGTCCCTAGGGTGGGAGAGGCCAGGGAAGAAAACAGCAACCCCTAGGAGAACTGGAGTGGGGGACAGGGACACTTCCGCTGGAGCTGGCTGGGTGCCACCTGGCTCCCTCCTCCTGCTCTCAGAAGAGAATCTAAATCCTCTGGCTTTTTTTTTTTTTCTTTTTTAAATCAGGGCTGCATCATGGGTCAGCAGCAGTAGCTGCCCCAGGGAGGGGCCGCTCAAAGCCGCTGAATTCAGCAGTTATTTGTGGGCATCACCGACTGGCCCTAGCCCCGGTCTCAGGAGAACAGGAGTTGCTCTTGCCCCTGTTTGCATGCTGGATGAGGCCACAGACTGCCAGCTGCCTGCCATGCTCTCTAGAAGGTACTCAGATGCTGAATGTGGTCCTGGCACGTCTTAGGGCCGTGGTGGTGGTGGTGGTGGTGGTGGTGGTGGTGGTGGTGGTGGTGGTGGTGGTGGTGTGGTGGTGGTGGGTCTCCATCCTCCCTCCATAAGCATTCTGTCTGGAGAACTGGTAAAATTCCAGGGGCCTGGGCCATTTCCAATCCACTGCTCAGTAACTGTATACTTTGAGGGAAGTATAAAAGAATCTTTTACTGGATCAGGGTCATTGTCCCTGTGTTCCTTTTGTCCCAGTTACAAAGAAGGTCACATCCTACATCATGCTTTATTTTGGATGTGAAATGCCTTCCAAAGGCCAGTGGTAACATCTGGAACTTTTAGGAGTGGAAACACATGGGAGGTCCTTAAGTGATCAGGGGAACCCTCGGGAGAGATTATAGGTACCCAGTCCTTCTATAATTTGCTTCCTAGCCATGAGGTAAGAAGCTGGGCCCACCCGCTCTGTCATAATGTATGAACCCCACAATCATGACTAAGACCTTGAACACAGTGACTCAAAGTAAACTTTTCTCTTTATAGATTATCTCAAATATTCCTATAGGTCTGGAGCGATGACTAACGGGCACATCCAAAGAGTGGGTCACCCTCCCCACTGCCAACCACCACCACCAGACAGCAGACCTTCCACAGGAGGTGCCTGGGAAAGCAAAACGTGGTAACAGCTGTGAACACCCCCAAAGGCTTACACCTCCAGGATGCGGAACTCCCCTCTTGCTTAGACAGCAAACCTACTTCAAGAAAGTGGCTCCCCAGCACGCCAAACCAACATTACCTTCGAGATGTAAGTCAGCTGCAGAGATCCGACAGCTCCTGCCCCAACGGCCAGGTTCTGAAAGACAAAGGTGTTTTCTTAAGATGCGAGGGCCCCCAAAGCAGCAGTAAGAGACAGACCAGCGTTCCAGTTCAGTCTGTACCACTGAAGCCTCAGGAAAGTCACTGTCCTCACCTACAAAGCACTGGCCATAACCCTGGATAACAGGTCTCCTGGGGGGAAACAGTAGTATTAACAGCATCCCCTCCGCTCTTATGGCCAGTTAGTCTAGGACAATGGTTAGCCGTGTGTGTGTGTGTGTGTGTGTGTGTGTGTGTGTGTGTGTGTGTGTGTGTGTGCTTCGCCAGGCGACTGTGAAGATTTTTAACTAGCCCTCAGTTTCCCCTGCTGTAAAAACAGAGGCAATCTCTTGTGGAACTCACAACAGAGGGAACAGGGGCCGTCTCCAACTCTTTTACTGGCTTTTGGGACCCCACTTCTCATACTGGGTCCCCTGGCCCGTCCTTAATTCACGGGGAGGTTCTTAGTCTTACTGCAACTTGATATGCCATTTTTTGTTGATACTCATGGGAGACCTGCCCTTTCCTGGATGGAGATGGAAGAGGAGGGAATGGGGGTGGGAGGGGGGGAAATAGGGGGACAGACTGAGAGGGGAGGATGGGGGGAGGCTGAGACCAGGATGTAAAATAAATAGATGAATTTTTTGAACATTAAATTAAAAATAGGTCAATTTGGATATAAAAACAAAACAAAACAAAAAACAAAAAAAAAAACGAAACAAAAAAACCCAGAGGCAATCTGAGTTGCTTTTATCCAAACCAAAATGCTCGGAGATTTCAGGGTTTTTTTCCCTAATTTTCCTTTTTGGTGGGGTGAGAGTTAGTGGAGGGATACTGTGGCCCTCCTGCCATCACTTCCTGGGGGATGACATTACAAGCATGTGTCACCACAACCAAGCACTTAAAAAAAACAAAAAAATTAGTGAGAATGAGGAGGGTTTATATGAGCGAGAATTGATGAGACCAAGGTTGGATAAAGCACAGGGACAAATAGCCAAATGAATGGAAACACATGAACTATGAACCAATGGCTGAGGGGTCCCCACTGGATCAGGCCCTCTGAATGGGTGAGACAGTTGATTGGCTTGATCTGTTTGGGAGGCATCCAGGCAGTGGGACCGGGTCCTGTGCTCAGTGCATGAGTTGGCTGTTTGAAACCTGGGGCCTGTGCAGGATGGCTTGGCTCAGCCTGGGAGGAGGGGACTGGACCTGCCTGGACTGAGTCTACCAGGTTGATCTCAGTCTGTGGGGAAGGCTTTGCCCTGGAGGAGATGGGAATGGGGGGGGGGAGGCTGGGGGGAAGGTGAGGGGGACGGGAGGGGGGAGAACAAGGGAATCCGTGGCTGATATGTAGAACTGAATTGTATTGCAAAATTAAAAAAAAAAAATGAGAAGTCCTGAGGACTGGACCCGAGTCTAAACACAAAATTCCATTTGTGCTTCATATATCCATTGTACAGATTTCCTGGGGACTGTGATTTTAGACAATGATTTTAGGTCCCTTGTGTTCTGACGGCAACATACCACATGAGGTGAGGTGTGGAATTTTCTACTTGCTATCACATCAGCATTCAGAAAGTTGCAGATCTGGGATCATTTCAGATTTTCGAAGTTTTAGGTGAGGGATGTTCCACCTGTAGCCCCACCCTCAGAATATAGCGATGAGGTGGAGTTAACGCAGGGGAGTGCTTCAGTGTGGAATTTCCCTGGCACACGGGGATGCTCTGCAAGTGTGACCTATGACATCTTTTCTGCGTGATTGCTCTTATTCAGCTTGCTTTGTCTTATCAGTGTCATTTCAACATTCATTTCAGAACGCGCAGGATACAAACTCATATGATACAGATGTCTTTAACATGCCCGTGAACTTATTTTACAGGACTATAATACATGCCATATGAAACCCATGTCTGAACACAAAAATCAAAACCACGAAGAAAACAGCCTACTAACGCAGCAAGGATGGTGAAGGGTGCAGTGTCATGGGAATGCTGGCCGAGCACGGACAATGTTCTGGGTTCCAGCCCAGAACTGCAAAACGCAACACAGAAACAAACTAAAAAACAACAACAAAACCCAGCAGGGAGCTCCAAATACTGAGTCAACAACATTCTACCGTGACAGGACCCTTCCTGGCTTCCTGATTTCTGTTGCGAGAGGTGATATGAGGTAGTGACCAATATTAGAAACCAGACCAATGAAGTTCCCAATAGATACGACTGAAAACCCATTCCCTTATCACCCGAGTCTGTCTGAGAACCCACCCCCATATCCTGAGAGTCCGCTGAGAACCCACTCACATAACCTGAGCCTGCAGCTCCAAATGAACACCATTCTGCTCCAGGAAAACAACGGACGCCCTCACTAAATGGGGCTATCTCAAAGCAATGAAAGGCACAAAGTCCTGGATAAGAAGAGTTAGAAAATTTACTTCAGCATTAACCGTGAAATGGTCTACCATTCCAGAAGACTGCCTTAAGAAATGCCGTGGCTGGAGAGATGGCTCAGGGGTTAAGAGCACCTGCTGCTCTTGCTGAGGACCCCGTTCAGTTCCTGACACCTACACTACAAGGTGGCTCTCAACTGCCTATAACGCCACTTCCAGGGGATCTGATGTCCTCTTATGACTTCACAGGCACCAAATACACATGGTGCACAGATATATGTGCAGAAAAAACACCATATACATAATATAAAATAATAAAGCTTTTAATTAAAAAAATTAAAAATAGAAATATCTTAGATATGGGAAGAACCTTCTAGCCCATTGTCTAAAATAACATATCTCTGAAGTAAATTGAATGTCTTAAATTTTCTGTTTATAAGAAAATGGATAGGGGCCAGGCGGTGGTGGCACATGCCTTTAATCCTGGCACTTAGGAGGCGGAGGCAGGAGGGTCTCTGTGAGTTTGAGGTCAGCCTGGGCTACAGAGCTAGTTGTAGGACATCCAAGGCTACACAAAGAAACCCTATCTAGAAAAACAAAAACAAACAAACAAACACAAGAAAGAAAAAGAAAATGGATACAGATAACACAGTCATTTAAGAGAACTCTGAATCTCTGTGAAAAGACCTTTAAAAAAAAAAGACTCAATTACCACCTTTTCCACATGAAACATTATGTCTGAAAAATGCCTTTGAGGGAATAAGAGTATAGCTTAGTGGTAGAGCATTTTCCAAGCATGTATGAGGCCTTGGGTATCACCCCAAGTTCTGTAAAAACTAACTAAATAAAAGCCACCCGGGAGTACTCAGATTAGCATTCATTTTATTTATGCATTGTTAAACTTTATAATGACTTCTAAATCTGTTTAAAGGAAATCTCGATTGTGTTAAGAAAGACAGGCTCTGACGTTCCCAAATCAAAATCCAAACGGGGCCATCACTGTCCAAGACTAAGGAGAGATGGCCTAAGGGGCCCTGAACCACTCTAGGCAAAGACTCAACTCTTCTGGGTGGCAGGGGGAAGCCTGTGTCTCCACAGCCTCACTGTGGCCAAGAGCTCCAAGGATACGAGGGCTTTCAGGTCTCCTAGAAGCCACCACATTCTAACTGTAGTATTAACACACTCTGACTGCAGAGAAGACTTTCCCTATAAAATCTAGATGATAAACTGTGCCAGGAGAATTACATGAAAATAGGGTGACCACAGCCCAGAGAGGCCATGGCCCCTCAACCAGGCTAATTATAAGACGCAAACACCAGGATCTGGGGCTACTCTTAAATAACTGCTCTCCTCACCCCAAACCACATCCCGAAGCCTCTGGAGCCCCATCCTGAATCATGAGTGAAGTGGGATGGGGGAACAATTTGGACTCTAAGCCACATGTAATGACAGGGAGAGATCAGATTTCGAGGACGTCAGCCCTCTGCTCTGGTCTCCGATGCCTCCTCCCAGTCACAGAGATGTGCTGCCGAGTTACCCAGGGGATGAGGGTGGGGGATACTCATGTATACTCCACCCTTTCTGCTCCGAGGCAGATAAACACTCTCTCCATCCCCAAAAGCCAGGAAAACATGACGAATGTCTGAAAAGCCGTTTGCCCACCACCTCCTACCCACCCAAGGGGGATGGGGGAACATCCCTAGGATTCCTGAGGCTTCAGATCCAAAGTGAGACTCAGCGTCCACTCCAATTAACTGGATCTAGAAGCTTAATGGCAACAACTCATTGTCATGGTGGCACCCAGACAGTCCCAAGCAGACACGTCCTGATCTAGCGAGGTTGTACAAAAAGGCCTGAGCAGCCAGGTGCCAGGGCAAGAAGCCCAGAAAGCATCAGGTGCCAGAGTGCAGGGGCAGAACCCCAGTGTTGTGTCCTGGAGAGGAAGGTTAAATTCAGGACCCTCCTGACGCCTTCACTGACTCCAGCCAGCCACTGGCTCCTGTCTCTCAACCCACAGATGGAACCTGGACTTTGGTGCAGACTCAGACCCCTGGAGAACCCACTCGAGAAAAGTTCTGGCTCGGGCTTCCCCCTCAAAATGCTGAGTCTAAATCAAGTGGGATGGGTTAGAAGGCACACATTTTAAAACACTCCCGTTGATCGCTAAATGGACCCAAGTTTAAGAGCAGCTGACCAAGGGGACGAAACCTAGCTGCGTTGCTATTTTCCCACAAGTCTAGTCTTAGTACACTAACCACACTCTAAGCTTACCGAGGACATGACTGGGAACAGCAAGATGAAGGCATCTTGGGATGCTGGGTGTCTGTAGCCCCAGCACACAGGAGGTGAGGCAGAGGCAGGACGCCATCATCACCTCTGAACAGATGTGCCCCCCACCCCAGGAAGGTTTGTAAAATGCACTTTATTTACTTATTATTTCAGTCCTAGAGAGTGGACCTAGATTCTTCATGAGTGCCTGGCACATAATTTAACCCCGAGATAAATAGCCACTCCCCTACTTTTAAATGGGGGACTTATACTTGTGAAATCACCTTGGGAGGTTTTTGAACTGATACATAATAACCTTCTATCTGGGGATACAGCATGACAATTCAACACATGCACACAATGATCATGATCAGACCAAGGTGTGTGTCTGCGGAAGTATGAATGAGAACGGCTGCCATAGACTCTTATGCTTGAATACTTGGTTCCCAGTCGGTACAACTATCTGGGGAAGATTGGGTGTGGCCTTGTTAGAGGAGGTGTGTCACTGGTGGTGGGCTGTGACGTTTCAAAAGCCCATACTATTCTCAGCGGGTCTCTCTGTGCCTCCTACGCTTGGATCAAGATGTGAGCTCTCAGCTGTTCCTGCCTCCATGCCTTCGATCCTCCATCAGGGACTCTACCCCTCTAAAACTGGAAGTCCAATTCAATGCTTGCTTTTCTTAGTTGCCTTGGTCATGATGTTTTGTCACAGTATCTGAAAAGTAACTAAGACATTGGTATGTCTGTCCTTTTGGACATTTTTCAATTCCCCGTGATGCAAACATTCAAAATTCTCTCCACCAGCTATTTTGAAATAAACAACTAGTTTCCATAGTTTCCCTAATATGCTATAGAATGAGGCCTTTCTCTCTCTCTTTCATAAGGTCTCACTGTATCGCCCAAGCTGATTTATTAGGGGGTGATTTTTTTTAAATTACATTTTGTCTGTCTGCCTGTCTATCTGTCCATCCGTCTGTCTGTCTATGTGTATACGTGTCATATTGTATGTATTATGGTCAGAGAACATCTTGTGGGAGTTGCAGGAGTTGGTTTTCTCATTCTACCAAACTCAAGTGTTCAGGATTGGTGGCAAATGCCATTACCCACTGAAACATCTAGGCCTAACGGGGCCATTCTTAAGCCAACAAATACCATGGTTGCTTCCCACACGTTTGAGAGATCTGGAAGAGGCTCCAGACACCTGTGTGTTCTCGGTGCTCCTTGGGAATCCCCTGTGTCACTGGGCTGGGAAAACCATCGGCTGGGGCTGAGTAGGCCCTGGGGAAATGCAAGGCCACACCTGGCCAGCAGCCCTTGGAGAGGACCACAGCGCCAGCAGTCCTCAGGGGAAAGGATGGGAAGAGGGGTGGGTGAGCAAAGGAAACCACAGAACTTCACCAAGTAGCTGGCAGTCACCCTATGTGAGGCTGGTAAGTCCAAAGTGGCCTTAGACTTGTGAATTTTCTGGAATTGTGTAGGACACAGGGCAGGTTCCTGTGAACTAACAGGGGACCTTAAGAAGACCCTGAAAACACCTTGTGTTTTGTTCAAGATCTCTTCAGCCAGCAAGGACTTCAAAAGACTGAAGTAAGACATGGTCTCTTCCAGGACCAAGATAGGAGCTGAACTGCTGCTCACAAAGTGGGTACCTCCACCTTTGGCCAGCCTGTAGAAACAGCAGCACCTCACGCCAAAGGACAAACTTGACTCCATTTCCCATCTCCTAGCAAGAGTAACAAAGAGCATAGAAAACAGCCAGATCCAACGAAGGATTCATACATCCACAGGAATGTCAGCTCTGCAAGCGCCACTGATACCTCTTTGCCTACCACGACCCTCCGCGTGGCTTCTGCAGGGAGCCCAGGGAAAACAGAGCTCGTCACCCCAGCCACAACCTGCCACTCTGGAGAGCACAGCACGGGAAACAAGGAAGAGACACTACTGTATCTACATGCTGCTAAGTCTCCACGATCTCATTTCACAGATACAGAAGTCCAGGGGCCAGCGGGTGAGGCCCCTGGCCCGAGCTCATACAGATAGCAAGTCAGGCCAGAATTCAAACTCAGCCCTTCTGGATTCCCAGCTCCTCCATGACACTTTCCTCCCTGCCAGGCCACTTCCCCTGAAACAATATCTACCAGTTGATTATCAGTGAAAGGTAAATAGGAGAGGAGGAGAAGCAAGGTTAGACTGAGCAAGGCCATAGTTAGTTGCCCAAGCTGGGGCTAGGCAGGAACTAGTCTAACTGGCTCTTGGGTGCCAAGCTCCACAAGACCAGAGGTTGAGGTGTGGGAAGGGAGAAGGAAGGGTGCCCAGGCACCAGCAAGGAGCCCAGTAGGCATCAGTAACTGCTGCTGGCTGCCAGTAGAAAAAAAGACTATAGGAGAACCCAGGGAGCAATCTCATGCCTAGGGTGTGAGCTAAACCAGCTTTCAACACCAAAGCCAAGACCATCCAGGCTCACAGAGATGCACCTGGGGCAAGATGGCAAGAGAGCAAGCTGCCCAGACCTGCATTCCACAGCCTGTCTGGCATGAGAGAGCAGCTAACTAGAAATGAGCTCTCCCGGGCACCAGCTACCCTGGGCAGTTCTTGACTTCCACCCAGTAGATTTACTTCCTATTAAAAACGTGTTGGCCCACAATGTGCCCATGGCTGCTTTCCCCATTCTCTGGTGCCCAATGTGTATTTTAACCTTGCCCTGTGTGAGCAGTTCGTGTTATAAGATACAGTACTGGTTGAACACTCTGGCGCTGGGTCTCTAGTCCCGGCTGACTATGCTCCTTCTTAGACAGGATGAGGCTCTAGGGTGTAGTCACATGACCTCCATATTCCTTGCATCGCCCTTCCAACCTCATCTTCATAGAAGCCTAGAGACAGGTGGATCTGAGGCTGTCAGGAACCTGAATGGTTCTTAAGCTCCTTCATCCCTTTCTTCAACCCAGCTTCCTCCAAGTTGGCCTCCACCTTCTCATCGGCTCCCCTCCCAGCTTCCCCATCTGGATCAGTGGCTCCACATCCTCTCTCCAGTCAACTAGATAGGAAACGTTTTATTATAAATACACAAGATTTATTGTTTTTTAAAATACAGCTAGGTATATAAATTATCCCTGGGGAAAAAAAAAAAGCTTGACTTTAAACAAAGAGAAAATAACTATGATGTCCACCATTTAAATGTCGAGCTGAAGCAACACGGTATTATTCTATTGTGACTTTTGGTCACTTTTATCTATTATTTAAGGATTAGCAAGATGCAACACAGGAGTGCTTGAGTGTGTTTTGCCCCCACCATCTCCTAACAGAGATGGCTCTACTGCCTTATATCTACCTGACACACCAAAGCATCTCACAAGTCCAAAGAAATAAAGTCCTAAAGCAAACACTAGACATCCACAAGACAGCTGGCAGGTCATGTGCTGCTCCCAGTTAACACTTATTAAGCACCTCCTACTTTCCAGGCCCCCAAACATTACAGAAGCCTCAAGCCATCCTTGAAGATACTACATAACAATGTTTTTTATTTTTGTTTCTTGTTTTGTTTTCATTTAACAGAAGAGAACGCACAGTCAGGCCGACAGGCACTTGCTCGGAGCCGAGTAACGGGCTGAACAATGCTCACGTCAGTGTCAGGAGACTCAGTCTACTTCTCACAATTGTCTTCTTAACATGCTCTTTTGTTTGTTTCTGAGACAGGGTTTCTCTGTATAGGCCTAGTCATCCTGGAACTCACCCTGTAGACCAGCCTTGAGTTCACAGAGATCCTCCTGCCTCTGCCTCCTGAGTGCTGGGATTAAAGGCGTGAGCCACCATCACTTGGCTTCACCTAGTCTTTGTTATCACATTTCTTTTCTTAAATGTGTCTGATATAAACAGCACATTCATCTACATCATCATGGCTCCTCTTTTGTAGAGAACAATACTCCTACCTCCCTAGGTTCATCATCACTTATCTATAATCCCTTGGTTATCAATCTGAACCATGTGTGGGGATGTATAACACTAAGTACTATGATGAATTTGAAATTTAGACAAAGCATGAGCACACACTTGGTTTGGGGCTAAGCACATAGAGTTTGGTTTGGGGCTAAGTTTGACAACCTGAGTTCTATTCCTTGAACCCACATGGGGGAAAGAAAGAACCAACTCCCACAAATTGCCTTCTGACCCCCACATGTACACAGTGACATGTGTACTGTCATG